ACTAAACGACTAAAACACAAAACACGGTATTATTTATACAGTAGTTTGTGATGTCACTTTGTTAAGAATATGCGCACATATGCATTCTTTTAAAAAGCACTTGCACCAAACGCACATACTTAAACACATAATACACATGCATTTCATCACTATTTTCACAGAGTCGTGTTTTTGTAGTTTACACAGAGACGTTTATCGGTATCATTTTCAAAAACTTTGAAACCCATTTTCAAATGTTTGAATTTCAAGCCCCCAAAATGCTGTGGGTTGTGTAAAAAACACATAAAACGTTTTGTAAATGGCCCTTCAGTCTCGTTTATGTTGAACTGGTTGTGCTATTCCATTTTCCAAGTGGCCTCCTGTGTGTTAGGTTTTTTGGATTTATTCATTAAAGATGAATAATCTCCTTCATCATTGTGCACTTTACTACAGCCACACGTTATAAGAGGCTGAACCCAGATAAGATTTGTTTTGCGTATTTTTTTTCTTCTGTATTCTTTCAATATGGAATTAGTTGCTCTTGCATCTGGTTGCATTGGTTAGTTGCATCTAGTTGCTCAAACGTTGACTTCAACCTTTTCTTTGAAAAGAATCAAAAGAATGATTCATTCAAAAGAATGATGTGACTGACTGAACGAATGATGACTGTTTTTCCCAATACAAATTTGAACTCAGAAGACATATTAACATCAAGTTGTATGGACCAATTTTGAAAAGAGTGGCCAGGATTTATTCCCCCCAAAATTCACCTTTTGTGTTCCATGGTAGAAAGAAAGTCATACAGGTTTGTTATTACATGAAGGCAAGTGATGACAGTATTATTTTTTTAGCTGAACTATCCCTTTAAGCTTAGTCTTGCTCACTGTCTATAGCAGGCAGACCATATCAAAGACTGTATACCAAGATGGTGTTTTCGTATTGCTATAAATCGGAGAAACTGCAACACAAAAAAGATCCATCGTATATTGTCTATAGTGTATTGATGAATTACTGTAAGCACAACTCACACAGAAGTCACTCACAGCTTTCTGATGGTCAACATGGCAAATCAACTGACCAATCTTGGCTGATTTGAAAGATGTTATTTAAATGTTAGTTTGTCAAGCAGTTTTGGAGTTTTCGCTGTTCTCCGTTCAAGTAAACTTCAGTTGGTCTTGCATGCCTGAAATAGCTGCCCAGAGGCGTTGTTAATGGCCTCTGAGTGAACTGAGTTTCCTTGAAAGGGACTTTGGAGCATATGCAGCAGAGTCTGGAAGAAGTTGAATGTAAAATAGTGATTGAGTGCAAATCAGAGATGTTCCAGCCATCTCACTCTCTCTCCTCTGCCTCATCCTTTACAGCGTTTCTCCTGTTAATAGATGTCTTGTATCTTGTTAGCAACCAGTTTTTGTTTTGTGTTTTTTTTTTTTTGTGTTCTGACTTAGAATCTTAAAGGGATACTTCACCTCTGGATGTATGTGAATGTGTATTTAAAATGGGTCATTTATATAGAAGAAATGTGAAACATTTTTTGAATTTGGAGCTTTCTAGATTCTTAATGTATTTTTGGCTTATGTGGATGAAAGACAACAACTCCCAGAATGCACTTGCTTCGCTACCCTACGTAGTAGTTAAACCACAAGTCTAGGCCACTAGTGAGTCTCCGTGATGTGTCTGCCCGAACATGTGTTTCGAGATTGCCCAAAATGTCCGGGAATCAGCTTTTGCATTCTACAGTCGCCATTCATTATGTTTACTGTGGCGAGCAGGACGAGTGAGGGCCGTGGGAGGACCGCGCGAGGCCGGTGGCGTGATTACCAATGAGCGACACCTCACACCTGTGAGACGCACCGGTCTTGTATCTCTCACGGAGGTGCGGGAATTTTCTTAGCGATGTTAAAACGCACATCAACTGATCACTTGTTTAGCATTCATGTAAACTACATTCAGATTCACCAATCAGAATGAATTCAGTTAGATTGAAACAAACGCTGTACATGTAAACAATGAATGGCGACCGCAGAAAGCAAAAGCTGAATCGCAGACATTGACGGCCGGACATGTCCGGGAGAAAGAGGATGGTAACCCCTACTCAGCTTTCTCCACAGAACAAGAGCCTGCTAGCTTAGCTTCCAAAAAAAGATGGCTGGCACTATGTGTATAATCCCAATCCTCCATAATGCATCCGTCTGCGTATTCAGTACCTTCATCCTTATTTTCGAAAAGTTTCTGCCAGTGAAATTAAACACACTGACACTGATCTGTGATAGGTCTGTTTGCGCAATAGGTCCAAATCCCTATGGGCGGGTTTGAAAGGGTGGGAACTAATGCTTGTAGTCTTTACAGAAATCCCTCCTATTATCCTTATTCCCACTATTCCCACTTCCTCAGGGGAAAATGAGAGAGTGTTGCACGACCATTCAATAGTATGACTGAGTTTCTAACAATGGAAAGCTTAATGCAAAATGACCCTTTAAGTCAAACCTGCATTTGTCAAAGATCTGGACAAACCTTTATAAGATACACTATAGAAACGTTTAAAGGCGAGAGTGTACTTCGATTTCTATGTGTACGTGACGCAAATTTCATCATCACCAAAATAGTACATGTGCCACTGGATTTTTTTTTTTTTTTAATAAAAATCCCCTGCTGTTTAAAATATGTATCGCGATTAGTCACACATTTTTATCGACCGGTTGCGAGTGAAACGTTACATCCCTACTGTAGACTGCAACAACAGACGGCCGCCGCATTGACAAGTGCTTGTGTGAGGGGGTTATGAGAGAAATATAGTACAGACTGGACAAAGATGAAACTTTCTAGAGCGCATGTGTCGGCCGCCCTTGTGCCTGCATGCTATTAAATGGAGTATACTTATAGGCATTTGACTTTACACACAAGTCAGCGAACACACACACACACAAAAAAAAAACAAAAAAAAACAAAACAAAGTATACTTTGGGCTTAATGACACCTGAACACCACACCCATAAGTGCTTGTTAAAGTAATTACAAAACCATCAACAAAAATACATAATTCTGTGATTTTTTTCTCTCTCTTGTTAATATTAACACCATTATTGATGTAATGCTGGACTAGAGACATTTACACTTTTTTTGACCTACTTTCTCAGGCATATTTCTTCTGCTGCAACTACACTCACAGGGTTCTTTGATCATCACATTCCTGCGTATGTGCTCAGTTTTGGGGGAATATTCCATATGCAAATAGGCCAGTAAGAATGTGAATGTTATCTTTTGCAGATCATGTACTTTTTTTGTCTGCTCATATTAGCAATCTTACAGATGCCAACAGCAAACAATTGCACATGTTTGAAATTAAGCTTGTAAGCTTGTTTTTCTTTCTAGTATTTTCACATTCCAGTCATAGTTTTTGGCCCTTTGTTGATCAGCTAAATAGAATCAAGGAATCTTGATTATAAATTCATAATAAAGTTTCCTAAAGCTGGGAGGGGTAAGGGGGTTTACAGCGATGACATGGAATCAACCATATTTGCTTCCCCAAACGTTCAATTAACAGTTCTTACAGGAACCATTTTTTCCTATAGTGTAAAGAACTCCACTCCACCAAAGAATTTGCACTATGGAATGGAAAGGTTTCATGGATTGTTATGGTTCTTCATGGAACCAGTAGAGGCCAGTAAAGAACCTTTATTTTTAAGAGTGTTTTTTCTTGTTTTTGCCACATTTTTATTGATTGAGAGTTAGGAAAGGAAGAGAAAAATTGGGGAGAGCAAATATCTGGGCCAAACTATTGAGTGGTGAGCAACCCAGCTGGGTCTCATGTACTGACCACAATGCCACATTTCTGATGTTGTTGGTGTTGTATATTGTATATTGTAATACACAGACTACATCAACATCTGTTATGGTCTCTGAAAAAGTCCCCAGTTGTTTTATCAGTTGTTTTAATGAACCAAAATCTCTACATGTTTTCCATACGTAACAACAGATCTGGAGCAGAATTGTTGTTTTGTTTCAAGGTAAGATATCATGCGGTGAGCAGCCCCTCTGTTGCTATGACACGTGGTGGTCGAGTCTGTCTTCAAAGTTAGAGATCAATAGAACAGTGAGAGTTCTTCACTCAAGAGGGGGACAGCAAATAGAGCCTCTCAAATGCAAGCTCACGGTTGGTAAAATGGAGAGCCTCACATCTCTGCAGTCAGAGAGCTTTGTCAAAAAAGTCAAAACACAGTGGGCAATCTTTTTTTTAGTTCACATTTTAATAGATGCAAATATTGGGTTGACTTGGCTCTGTATTATGATACCGCTAAATCTAACAAGGCATTTGACAAGTACACTTTCAACTGATAACAACAGAAGACACTGTACAACAGATCTGTTCTGTGAATGAACTGTCAGTTTGGGCTCAGATCTGAACATGTACAGAAGGCATTTTCTCTTTTTTAAAAATTCACTGATGTTACACAAATGTAACAATCCCCTCACCAGCCTTTCCAAAAGAAATTTGTCGGTTGTATTCTAATTTATTATATTATATTATATTATATTATATTATATTATATTATATTATATTATATTATATTATATTATATTATATTATATTATATTATATTATATTATATTATATTATACATGGTATAGAATAGAACTAAATTGTGTAAACACTTTATTTTAAGGTGACGTAGCTACATTGTACTTCTAAGGGTTGGGGTTTGTTTTAGTGTTAGTACTTGTAATTATGCATCATTTACTGTTATTAGTAAGTTGTAATATGTAACTACGTAGCCTTAAAATTATTTACCAAATTGTTGCTAAATTGAATAGAATGGATAATTCCATGTCATGGTAAGTAATACCATGCTACGTTTTAATTTTAATGTGGTGTTGCCAAAAATGAGCTCAGAATAAGCTAAAGTTCAGAAACAACATCAGCTCCTTTACACTATAGTTAAAATGTACTATGCAATCTTATATGGTTTGATTTACAGATATATCTTTCTTTATTCTTCTTCTCTGTTTTTTTGCTCTTCCCATAGCTGTATCCTTCATGAGACACAGCGCATCAGCTTTTGGATTTGCTGTAAGTATAATTTTCAGTGTTATTTTCATATCTGCATATATTTGTCATGAAAAATAATTACTCCTACATCTCAAGGATCATATTAGAGTTACATTAATGTCAATGCAGGAATGAATTACATTTTATTCTTTAGGCAAAGATGTCTGGAAGTGTGTGTTAAATATAATGTGCAGTTACCATTCAATGAATAAATATTATTAAATAGTGTTAACATGCTTGTGCTAAAGGCAGCTCTGGGAATGTTTTATAAGACTAAATATATCACTGGATTCAGTTTCAGTTTGTGACGTAGTGAGATGCTTTGAGCATCATTTCTATAGCACTGAAGAATCACTGTTGTTTTTCAGTTTGATGCGACGTTAGATGTTCTTTCCTCCATTATAGTGCTGTGGCGCTATAGCAACGCTGCAGCAGTGCACTCTGCCCATAGAGAATACATGTAAGTAAACAAAAGATGAGCTGACTGTGGTATGTAGCACTGCATGGTACAAAGGACCTGCAGCAAATCACTAAATATAATGAATAATACTTCCTCTGTGACCCAAATTGGTACACTTTACAATAAGGTTCCATTAATTAAAGGGATAGTTCACCCAAAAATGAAAATTCTGTCAGTATTTACTCTCCCTCATGTTGTTCCAACCGATAAGACCTTCGGACCTAGCTCTCAGATTTCATCAAAAAATATCTTACTTAATTCGTGTTCTGAAGAACAACATGAGGGTGACTGCATATATATATATATATATATATATATATATATATATATACTATTCCTTTCAACTCTAATGAAAATAAAGTGAAAGTCTGTTAGAATAATAAAATACAACGATTTATTATGCCAGGTAAATGTATTATTACAATTTCAAATTCAATTGAAAGATAATCAAATTGTGTAAACCATCAAATATTTTAGAACAAAGAGGAAAATCTTTTACCCAACATTATGAAATGCATGAATGCTGAGTCTCTGTGACTCAGCGTTCACAGGCTGATCTGAGATACAGAAAAGGCTTTGATCTTAGTTGCATTTCATTATATAGCCAGATCTCATTTCATATGTAAACATGAGTTTGCAGTGGAAATTTACTGTGTTCACCCTCCCAGACTTACTGGGGGTTGGAGTGGACCATTTGCTAACAGTGGGGATTTGCATTCAGGAGTTTATCTTTTTGGGCCAAGGATCATGTAAAGGGCACATTCCTTTGTGTGCCAGTTATCCCCAAACTTCTAAAAAACCTTATGTTTATTACCTTATGTTTAACTCTATTGGAATGCAACATCTGTACCATCCACTCTAGGACATTTCAAATGATACTAAACACAATACTCAATGATAGTCATTCACATTAAACCATATATATGTTCTTATGTGAGTTTTGGTGATCTTCCCATGTGGGACGAGAAGGAGAAGTATAGCACGAGGGGGAGTTCAAATGTTAATTTGCTTTGTTCTCTCAGAGAGTGTGAACACTCCAGTGTTACCAGTCTTACACTTTACAATAAGGTTCATAAATTCCATTAATAAATGCTATATTAATGGAAAGTCATGTCAATAAAGAGTCTACAAATGTTAGTAACACATGAGTTAATGTTGAAAAGTGTACACTTTTCACTTAATCCATTAATTACTTATTTGAATGCAAGTAATGATAGTAAAGTGTGTATAAACATGAACAATATATTTTTACGCTGTAAAAAATTGTTTACCAACAAATCAATGCCTGATCTATGGTAACACTTTACAATAAGGTTCATTAGTTAACATTAGTTAACTACATTAGTTGGCATGAACTAATAATGAACAGCACTTATACGGCATTTATTAATCTTTGTAAACGTTAATTTCAATATTTACTAATACTTTACTAATACTAAAAATCTTGTTAACATTAGTTAATGCGCTGTGAACTAACATGAACAAACAATGAACAGCTTTATTTTTATTAACTAACATCAACAAAGATTAACAAATATCAAAACAAATGTATTGCGCATGGTTAGTTCATGTTAGTTAATACATTAACTAATGTTAACTAATGAACCTTATTGTAAAGTGTTACTTTACAATATATACTGTATATGAAAGAGTGTTAATAAGGTACACAACAGTATTTTTACATTTAGGGTAACATGATGAGTTAGAAATGTTAGAAAAGTACACTGTTAGACCTTACCAGGTTTTTTAACACTGTTGCCAGTAATTTACTGTAAAAATGCCCTAAAACTCAAGTTAACTAAAAAATACAACTTATTAGTTTTAGTGCATTTTTACAGTAAATTACTGGCAACAGTGTTGCCAGTATTTTACTGTAAAAAACCTGGTAAGGTCTAACAGTGTAGACTGCTACGTAAACTATTGTAAACATGTACAGTAAGTTAATCTTACAAAACAGTTAGGCCTAGCTATTTTCCATAGTTAGTTCATGTTAACTAATGTGTCAACTAATGTTAACTGTCCGTGCTGTTAATGTGAATTGTTGCATTAGAATATGTGTGAGTAGTAACCATTAACAAATATTAACTAATGCTGAACAGAGATGTTGTTCATGGTTAGTTCATGGTAACTAATGCATTATAATGTTAACTAATGGAATCTTATTGTAAAGTCTTACCCCAACATTCATAAGATTTCCATTACACGAGAATAGACAGCCCATTCTCACTCCCAAGGCGTCACCTAACTGACGCCTTGGGAAGCATTTGGACATGCTTCAATATCTGACGCTTTAGGCGCCCTTTAGCGTCAGTTAGATGACGCCCTAGGATCGCGTGTACCCTACCCCCACCCCACACCTAAACCTAACCGCGTCCTCTAACTGACGCTTTCCTTTAGCGTCAGTTAGATGACGCCGTAGGATCGCGTCATGTAAGTGACGCTAAAGGGCGCCTAAAACGTCAAATATTGAAGCATGGTCAAAGGTGACGCCTTGGGGTGAGAATGCGTTGGAATAGAAGTTAAAGCTTCATGCTGATTTGTACTCGGCTTTCGCCAAGATAAGCACAAACTAAGACATATCTTACAGTAAATTATGCTTCTCCGTCGATTTACGCCTCCTTCCATATGATGTGAATCTCCTTCTGTCTGGCATTAACTTTGGCTAAAAGCCATCTTACATCCTGTCAAAATGTGCCTCAATGTGGCAGGTGATGAACACAAAGGACAAGAGGGATCGTTTCCTACCCAGAGGTTTAGGTTCTGTGGTGATGGGAGAACAACATAGGTTGACCTGATAAGGAAACTGATCCTACTCTCTTCCAATGACCAAAGGTCTTCCCAGCCCAATTTGCGTTGTCCCACGCTCTCCTTTGCCTCTACCACAGATTTCTTTGCTGGCCACATTCTACCAGTTTTTAACACAGGTGCTGCCTCCCTTACACATTTGTCACGTGACTCTACTAAGGTCATTTCCAGTCTGACCTTGGCGCAATTAAACTCCTCGGTTAAAGCAGAGTCTGGCAGCTGCAATATTCCTTTACTATAAAGTCAACCATTTCCTGATGTATGAACTTATTGACGCTTCCAGCTTATCCACTTGTTTTCAAAGAAACCTCATACATAGTCAGTGGCCACAGCAACCTCGGCAGTAGACCAAACTGAAAGCACCAGAGTTTTAGTTTGCCTGGAAGAGCACAGCTGTATATGCTCTTCAACCCTTCCACTGCTTGTCGTTTAACTTCTCCCACTCGAACTGTGTTCTTTGGATCCCCATCATACCATCTCCCAAGACAGTTCACTGGCTTCTCAGAAACGGATAATATCATAAAACATATTCTAAACATATTACAATATAAGTCAGCAATTCACTGGCAGCGCTGTTCCTTGTAAAGCTAGTACAATTGTGGTGAAACATCTTAATTTGAACACAATGCCCTTAGATTAAATGCTACCAACATTCATTGCAACATTTTTAAAGTCTGAACGTGGTTGCTTGTCTAGTCTGTTGAGTGATCTGCTTTGTTTCTTGCTTTCACCTTGAGTGTCTCAAATTGAGACGTATTATGCTGATAAAGGTTTTCGCTGCTGGTTTCATCCTAGGTCTGGTTGGAGCTTGTGAATCTCATTTTTCTGGTAGATGTGTCAGAGTGGGAGATTTATATCGCAATACTAAGAAATGCAGGTCTTTGTAGGTGTACCAGTGGCCGCTTGTCACACAGGAAAAATTAACATGCATTGTGGACAGTTTTCATATTTTTCATAATGGATTAGAATGGCTTCAACCTTGAACCAACATTAGCTACACATACAAAGAGTAGGTTTAATATATGCTACCGTTCAAACATTTGAGGTCAATAAGTCTCTTATGCTCACCAAAGCTGTATTGTGAAATGTCTTTACAATTTAAAATAAATCAATTCGATACATTATCTAACTGTTATTTATGATGGCAAAGCTGAATTTTCAGCATCATTACTCCAATCTTTAGTGCAGGACCCTTCAGAAATCTTTCTTGTATGCTGATTTGGCACTCAACCAACATTTCTTCTCATTATCAATGTTGAAAACAATTTTGCTGCTTTATATTTGTGTGAACATATTTTTTTGCAGGATTTTTTGATAAATAGAAAGTTAAAAAGCACAACATTAGTTTGAAACAGAATATTTTTCAACCTTATTTCTATACTGTCACTTTTGATCAGTTTAATCTAATTTATTTTAAATCTACATAAAAATAAAATGTTATTAATTGAACATAATAACACAATTTTATTAATTGAATCATTTTATCAACATAACTTTTCTGCTTTTCTCCATCCACAGAGCATGTGTGATCCTGGGAGTAATTTTCATCTTGTCGTCTATGTGTATTTTGGGGAAGGCCATCCATGATCTGGCCACCAAACTTCTTCCTGAAGTGGTGAGTTCAATGTCAGGGTGTCATATTCATACGCGCACACAGCTGCCATTGTACGTCTGCAAGACCAAAAGGGCATATGAAGTGTGCCATTTGGGACAGGGCCATTATTTCATCTCAAAGGTCAGATGTTGCTTTTCCCAGCAGTCACAACACAGGTCTTTGTCCGTTAATTAATCAAAGACTGGCACCATTCCAAAGAGCTGTGGAATAATAATTTCAGAGGCGGTGATTAATGTTTTTGTGAGTTAATCTCTATCCCTATTTTCATCTCTTTTACACCACTGATAAATGTCTGAGCACTAATACACACCATTATGTGACATTACTGAACAAGATTTTCTTGGATCTTCTACCAACAAAATTTTAATCAATGTCCAGGTCTAGAGACTTTTCTACTTATCTCTGCATCACAAAATAATCTCTGTTTATGTTGAATGAAGAAACATGTAAGGTAGGAAGAAAAAAATATGAAATAATGTAGAGTGGAAAATATGGCTATACAGCTTGAAGCTAAAAACTATTAAATGGGTCATAATGGTACATGCACTTTCAGTACAAGTTGATTGTACTGAAATGTGTGTTGACAGTGCCTGTGCACAACCATCATTACCTCACACGGTCGGACGTCCCTCCCACAATTGTTGATTGACAGCAGCGTTTCAACACATCCCCGCCCTGAGCGAGCTGTCATCATCAGTGTTGATACACTCTTTCTTTATTTATTTATTTATAAAGCACTATTTCAACAACAGTTAGTTGTACCAAAGTGCTGTACACTGGAGCAGAATGGCGTCTAAGCAATTGTGGTGTTCTGTTCTTGGGTGTAATAACAAACACAGCGCCCATGTTGATGTTCCTAAATCCGAACCACTGAAGACACAGTGGCTGAGTTTTGTTTTTCAAAGGGAGTTTTATTTTCCCACGAGCAACATCAATGCTTTCATGTTTGCGTGAATCATTTCTCAGTAGACTGCTTTATAAACGAGGATAAGTATAAAGCTGGTTTTGCTAAGAAACTGCTCCTGAAAAAAGAAGAGGTACCAACTATTCATGTCCCTGCCTCACCTTCAGAAGAAGTGACTGTAAAATTGTATTAACCTTTATAGTAATCTTTGCAAATTGCTTTCATGCTTCACGATGCGTGCTAAGGTTTACTCTCAGGGTACATTAGCAGACACAACATTTTGTAATAAAACAATAACCATAACGCGTTCAGTACGTAACATTATACATCGGTACGTTAAACACATAGCGTTCGTACATCTCACTAAGTTACTCTAACGTTACCCTACCAGTAACGCTACATACAAAGATAGATCAAAGTGACATTATGTTAACCAACCATTCAGACACGTCCTGTTCGAGCCTTAATTGTCGAACTTCTTTGTGGTCGTCATCTTGTTCCGGGTCCGACTCTGGTACAAACTGATACGATTGCACAGATGTATCCTCAGAGACTCCCACTACCATTTTTTTCTCCAAAATACCCTCAACTGTTGTCAAGGCAACATTCTGCATGCGTTATGTCTAACTACAACAGAACAGAGAGGCGGAGTGATCAAAGCTCATAATCGACAAAATCGACATAATGACAATTTTTAATTAAAATATATTACAAACTTTTCATTTAGATCCTAACAAATCAAATTAACTTGTATGAAAAAAGCATTAGATGACTCCTTTAATTTTTAATGACAATCAATTCCTGCTGTCCATTGATGGCCTAAAGCTATCACCTTTCTTATAAAAGAAAATCTAAATGCAAATGAGTATTTTCACTCAGTGTTTATTTCTCGGGCTGGGAAATTGCAGTTCCCACCCTTTTCATCTTCCCAGGCTATGAAATACTAATGAGTGTGAGGAAACAGCAGTAATCTGGTGTCAGACATAGACAGAGACAAAAAGAATAATAGGAGTCAGGGATCAGGAGTCTGTTATGGTTCACTCCATGTGGGTCAAGATTAGTTTTCATCACTGTCCTCTGCAGTTTACTTGATGAATCTGTAATGTGTGAAAAATCATATTAAATGTGTCTATTTTTAGAGGAACTATGTTGCCAATTTCTAGAATGAGAAACTTACATCCAGGGTTGCTATACGCCTTATTCACGGCAGCGCCATCTTTGATTTTTAATGAGAATGAAAGTGAGGCTGTGAGGGATAGACTTGCATCTCTTCAATGGGCTGTACTGTTATTTAATGTGTTTTCGGATTGTTCTGCTCATGAAACACTGGAAAAATATCTTTCAAAGAAATGTCAGTTTACAAAAAACTCCCGACAATGTAAGCTTTGGAAAATTATAAGTAATCTAGCCGCTTTATTCAGCTTTTTAGAGCGGATGCCATTGGAAACACAGCAAGTCTATCCCTCACAGCCTCACTTTCATACCTGTCATGGCGCTGCTCTGAATAAGGTCTATTGCTATCTAAATCATTTTTGCTAATAAAAAAATAAAATAAAATAAAAAAAAAAGATATAAATATTTGATGAAACTTAAATTTTTTAAATAAAAATTAGGAATGCTGCCGTGGCACCCAACTCAAATAAAATAAGTTTAAGTTACTGTCAGTCTAAAATTACAAAAAATAAAACTAAAAGTACTAAAATAACAGTGCTTCCATGATCATGATGCTTCTCATGATCAGTCCAGGCAGGGGTCAAATACTATGTAAGCATGCTAAACATGCTAAAATTCTCTTATTATAAAGTCACCACTGAATGTGTGAATGCCACCTCTTCCCTGAAAAGCTGAGTTTTCAATCCTCGTTTTGCCCCATAAGTGCTAATGAAATATCACGCTGCAGCTTTAGTGATGGATTTGTGCTGGCCTTAAGCCATAATTTCTTTTGGTTCTCTCATTGCATTAGGATGGATGAATCGGAAATTGGCTTCCACCTTCTTTAATATGCTGTCTTTTTTTTTCATTCTATCAGCCCTCAGCTCCTTTCTCAAATTCGTTAGACCTGGGCTCTCCATGTCAGCACCCTTCACTGGCAAATAGCCATCACACCGAATTTCTGAGGTGGCCTTATTGAAATCTGTGTGGTCCAGTTAATCCAAATGGCCAGTCTTAACTAGCCGGTCTAGCTTAAAAGGTGAAAGTCTGAATTGAAACACATTCATTGTCTGTCAGCTGTTACTCAGAGATGAAGGTCTCTGAACAAACTGTCTTATTAGAAATGTTGGAGAAGTGCTTCTGGATCTTGTGTGGGTGGAAAGCTGACATTCTTACTTTGGAGAGAAAAGAGAAAAAACAAGAGAGACAAAAACAGCTGTAGTTCAGATGATACTTCTGGCATTGCACCTGAAATGTCCCAAGGACTGATAAGAGACATTTTATTATTTATTACAGCTATTTTTACCTTTCGTTTTCCTTTTTCTTGATGCTTTCCCTTATGAAAAGAAAATATATTTCCCATATACAATATGAATGATCAATATATTAAATGGTTTAACAGTATGTTTTAAAAAAATACAGAATAATATATTGTTAATATATTTACATATATATTGAATAATACATTTTTTGTATTTTTTTTGTATTTTTTTGGAATTGTCACTTTTCATATATTGAAAAATTATGTGACAACATATTTACCAATATATAATGTAATTATATATTCATTAATAATCTTCGTTATATATATTATTATAATATTTATATGTGATCAGAGATGTCACTTCATGTGTAATATATTGCAGATATATTTACTCATGCAACATAAACACACATAGAGAAATATATAATGTAATATATTTATTTTTTATTATTATTAGATTATAAATGTTTCATATTCTCAACAATGAAATGGTCTGTTTTTACCTTATTTGGAAGGGTCATTAATAATAATGAGGAATTCTGCTCTGATTGGCTGTTTCACTGCGGGCTCAGTGAAACAAATGGACTAACATTAGATCCCTTGTCAAATAAAGCCGTCTTGCCTATGTCTGCATGCTGCTGCAACGCGTTTTACATAAATTCAAAATTAAGGATAATTTTTGGCTTCAATATACCGTGGAAAAGTGATTTCCCCTAGTTTAAGATATTACGCAGTAGCCTACTCGTTCCCTCTTCTAGAGAGAACCGAGGTTACGTTAGTAACCAAGTACGTTATGTATGCTCGTTACTTGGAGTTTCATATTTGTTATGTTATCCGATTATAGATAAACATCAACCATGCCAGTTGACATTTCTTTTCTGTGGGAAGGGTATGAAAAGTTCTCACATCCCCTGCTTAGCCTGGAACATAACATTTGTTATGATCTGCCATTTTCCCTATGATCCTCGCTTGTTTCTTCGCCTGCAGAACTTCCGATGATTCGGCTGCGCAGTTTTGCCTGGCATTGAACATGGGCTGGCATATTCAAATTTTTGGAGGCGTACATATTAATGATCCCGACTGTTGCGTCACGGACTGTTATGTGGAGATTTGCCTATTTTTTAGGGGTGTTTGAGACTCTCTGTATTCCATGTCCATGTACTGAACTCTTGCCATTTAACTATGCGAAGATAAATTCAATTTCAAATTCTAGGGCACCTTTAAGATGAATGCACTTCATCTCTACGTCAGCTCAAGGTAGACTGAAAGTCTGTCTTATACTTTTATCCCTCTTTTATTCCGCTGGCCTTTACGAGATCTAGTTTCTCCGAGTTTATAATTCAGCCAAATGGACTCTGTGTCATTTCTACTGTGATCACTTCTTCTTTCTGTCTTTTTTACTGTCTGTCTCTCTGCCAGGATGACTTCCTGTTCAGCGTTTCCATCGTCAGTGGCTTCATGTGTGCCATTCTTGCTGTTGCCAAGTTCATGCTGGGAAGGGTTTTGACCAGCAGAGCCCTAATCACTGATGGTACGACACACACACACAAACACATTTTAATGTCAGGTTATTTGCTCATGGTGCCTCCTAGTCAATGAACATAGCAAATAGCCCGATGACTATCAATGTTATATATATACAATTACACTACTTTGAAATGATTAGCTTTTAGTTTTTTATTTTCAGATTTCATTTTAATTTTTAAGTTTTAGTCCTTATGTGTTTTTGTAAGGACTCGATTTTAGTTTAAATAAACTTTCTTTTATTTTTATTTCAATTTTAGTATTGGTAATTTTTGTACTTAAACATATTTATTTTGGTTAGTTAGCAAGGTAACAATTCTAAGTTTTTCTTCTAATATTTATTTCTTACATGAATGTGTCATGAAGATAAAATAATTATAACAAACAAAATTGTTTCTTCTTTCTATTTCTTTCTGAAGGCTTCAATTCCATGGTTGGAGGTGTCATGGGGTTTTCCATCCTCATTAGTGCTGAGGTGTTTAGGCATTATCCCAACATTTGGTACCTTGATGGGACCATTGGGGTCCTGATTGGACTCGTCATTCTAGCTTATGGAGTCAAGTAAGTGTATTTCATTTATTTATATACATCTATTTATATTCTCCATAACTTCAAGACATTTGTCATCCACACTCTCTAATGTGGATATTTCCATTGTTCCTCTCTCCTGCAGGCTGTTGATTGACATGGTACCACGAGTAAGACAAACTCGAAACTATGAGCGCTTTGAGTAAAGCTGGTTCAGAGAGTAAAAGGCATTGTATGGATCCATCCATTCCTCTCTGCTCCTGCTGCTCTCTCAACACACATAATACCCAAATACATCAAGGAATAAAGTCTGCTGGCAGCCATTTCAGCATCACACACTTGTAGAGCCATCACTCCGACCAGCTCCAGATGTCCTCTTTTGCTCAGCAAAACATTTAAGACGGAAAGAGAAAAGACAACAAGCTGATCAATGTGCACTCCAGGCACACCAAGGCACATCATCAATTGGTTTTAAATATAGCCTGTAAAAAAAAAAAAAAAAAAGGATACCGTGTCTCCACTTCCTTCCACAGTAGAAAAATGAAGCCGAAATATCCCAGTAATGGTCGTTGCTGATTACGTTGTTTGGTGCCCAAATCTGCACAGGGTCTAGTGATCCTGAGGTGGAGCTGTGGCATCAAGGTCTCGCCAACACTCCCATGGTTAACTCAAATCAAACTTATGTGAAAACAAACACTTGAACATACATCTGCGTGATGACAACTTTCTAAAATGACAGAGACCATCTTAGGAAAAAAACATAATTGAAATGTAATTGGATTTTTTACTTTGGTTTGCGTCCCATTAGATTAGATTAAGACATATACTGCAGCGATCAAAATCCTTTGGCTTCACTTTTCAGGACTTGTGTGGCGAGCGGCACGCTTGGTTTTAAACAGAGACCAGCATTTATAATATCATCATGCTGTGGTCACATCCATGAAATTCTTTTATGTCACATTTTATGTTCCTTGTTTCTTTCTATAACCATTTGTTTTTAAATTATGAAAGAAAAATATTGATTTACACTAGAAATTAAATGCAATTTAATCATCCCACCTGTTACCACAAAACTATTTAAGTATAGGCCACACTTTGTTAGGTGTGTTTATATTTTACTGTTGACTACTATAAATAACCTCTCAGGCTAGTATTTCCCAGCCACATTTCCAGTGTAGAGGTAAAACACACTTCAGTGAAGAAAGCACACAGGAATTTCTGGAGGTCGGCACAAATATTCTGTAGGCTAAAGACGTCTCAGAACCACAGTTCAGGGTCAGCAAGATAATTATATGAAATATTGATATTGGAAAAAATATCTTCATTGTTAACAGGAAAACTCCACAATGCATTAGTGATCTGTCACAGACATTGACTCCTACTGAGTCAACTGTCAAATTGACTAACCACCACAAACCCCCTCAAAATGAGAAGTGTAAAGGTTTTTAAAAGGTTGTAGCAGCTTTGACCGTTGAACCATTTATACCACCAAAAACAATAAAAAGACAAACTAAATTACAGAAATATTCCTAAATCTATTTACTTGTCTTACTGTAACATTTTCGCTTGATATTGCGTGCTTTGCAATTCAACGTAAAAAATTCAATGCTTCGTTCATGTATTTAGCAACACTTGTCTTATAATTAAATCAATTAATCTGATGTTTAACCCGTGATTTTCTTAGCTTGCACTGCTGAGTGTGTCTGTTTGCCACTTGCAATAGAATTCATCAGATATTCGTTTCGTGCCAAGACAGAATGAGATTAGAATGGCCTGAAGTATCGTCTGATGTAGAAATGATTGATTTGGACTCTGGCAGACAGAATGAATGATTGTTGAATTATGGAGGGTTTGTGAGGGAGGGCTTATTCTGCAATGGAGAGCAAATCATTGGAAAAACAAAGCACATTTTAGTTTCTTATGCACTGTTTGACAATACTATTGTATAATATAATGGGTTTTTACCTTTCATTTATTTCTTCTCCACAGAGACTGAAGCATAAATACAAATGTTTGTCCTTTGTGACCTACTAAAAGTATGGGCGTAACAATTTTAAAAACTTTTATAATGTTACAAAAAAAAATCTGTTTCAAATAAATACAGTTCTTTTGAACTTTTTACTCATCAAAGAATTCTGGGAAAAACAGCATACCGTAACTGTTTACAACATTGATAAGAAATATTTCTTGAGCAGCAAATCAGCATTAGAATGATTTCTGAAGGATCATGTCACTCTAAAGGCTGGAGTAATGATCACACGTAATATTGATATTATAAAACGTATTTAAATATATAAAAAACGTATTTTAACTTGCAATAAAATTTCACAACATTACTGTTTTTATTGTATTTTGATCAAACAACTGCATAAGAGACTTCTTTCAAAAACATAAAAATGTTCTGTCAACCCACAAATATTTGAATGTTAGTGTATTTTTAAATCTTTGAATTTATTCATTAAAATGCCCTCTAATTTGAATTAACATATTTTTTTTTTCATTCACACATTTACATGACCTGCTTGCTAAGCACATAAATTATGTTTTTTTTTAAATCTAATGTTACAATGCAGTTTGTCACTGACCATCCCAAGTACATTAACTCAAATTCATGTTACAGACTGACAAAGTATTTAAAAGAGCTTATGTGTTTTTACTGTTTTTGACACACAGGGTTCCTATCTTTTACTATGAGAATCAGCAGTTTTTTGCTTTTAACATTTTTTTTTTTGTCTCATATAGTTGGGATGTAAATGTAACTGAATGTAATTGACTGATCGGTTGGTTCAGTTCACAGCTCACCCACTGCAGACCTACTAATGTATCGTACCAATATTACCAGACAATCATGAGTCAACAAATAACTGAAGCACAGACTCCAAAAGCCTTTTGTGTACTGCTCAATGTGATCTCATCTGAAGAGGGAAACTTTAAAGCAGAACGTCTCATATTTGTGTTCTTTTTATCATCATGACAAAGTTATTGTTTGTTATTTATTACTGATTTTTACTCAAGTGGCGTGTTTAGCCATAATGCAATAGCATCATACTCATTCTTTATAGATGGACATCCTTATGTTATAACTTGAATTTTTATTTGTCCATAATCCTATATAAACTGTTCTGACTTGACTGTATATGTGTATAAACTGCCCATGGTAACCGATATTTCAATGTGCCGAATTAATACTGTATTATGTTTACAAAATTTGGTATTGAGTATTTATGATATTCAGATGTCGGGTCACAACTGCCAGAATAGGCAGGTCGTTTATTATGAGTCATTTGCTTTATTTGCTCATTCTCATCAGGTATATTGTGCTAGTATGTAAATCTAAGCATGTGTTAGGCTGTAGCGTACCATCAGCTGACACATAGGTAGGAGAACAGCGCTGTCTGTTCATAGACTTCACTGGCTAGTCGCTTGTATCATCAGGGTCACATAATGGTCACAGTATAATAAATACTTACATTTGCTTAGTATAGTGATGGTTGTTCAAATGATAAATCAGTCTATATTCCAAAGACGAACTGACAGCTAGACCCTGTTTTAGTTTGGCTGAGGCTTTGTACTAATCTTTGTACTAATGCTGTAGTAATTTAGTCTTAAGCAATAGGCTCACTGCTCAGTTAATTCTGCAACGCTTTGCATGAAAAAAAAACACATACCCACAAAATGCTGCACAAATTCACACTGACACAAAAGCACACGCATGCACAAGCAAATGCACACAGCACATTTATGATGTCTGCACATAGATGAGAGGTTCTGAGTGTATTTATTCCTATAATAATACTGATTTATATTTCTGTAGAAGATGTTAAAAAGCTTGACGTATAGGTTGTACAAAAATAAAAACTCTTACCAACCAGATTGTGTGTAGTTTTTGGATTGTGTACTGACTAATGTCACGTTACAAATACATGACAAATCAACTCAAACTCATGTAACTGTTGTAGGCATGCATGAAGAAGCAAAGACATCCTTAAAGTTACAGTGTGTGCATAAATACTACCAGTCAAACTTTTTGAATAATTAAGATTTTTGTATGTTCTTGAAAATCTCACCAAGCTGCATTCGTTTGACCACATATACAGTGAAAACAGTAGGCCTGTAGTTGTGAAATATCATTACAATTTAAAAGAACTGTGTTAATAGGCCTGTATTTATTTATTTATTTATTTTGTTTTGTTTTGTTAGTTTTTTGGTCCTGTGGCTTTCCTGTGAATTATTCTTAGCCCAAACCTTTGAAATCATCATATAAGAATTTATTTAGAATATAGAATTTATTTCAGTATGAAGGGTCATGCACTTTTCATTTATGACCACTAGATGGGGATACGTGTTAACACGTAGTTACAATACATAGCCTATGACAATTCAGCAGGAGGACACTCTCATTTGTGTACTTTTTTCTGACCAAATTTTATACATACAAGACGTTATAAACATTGTTCTTTTAATTAAACAAAAGCTATATTAGAGCTACACCTAGGCCTAGCTTATTAATTACAAATGGGACAGGTAATTGCACAACTTTATGTTGAATGAAGTAGCTAATAACAACCCACACATTGTCGGTTGTAAATAAGGACATTTTTGTGGCTATTTAATGTTTAGTGGGCAACTTTTAAGTTGTATTAAACATGCAAGTGAAGTTAATGTGTGTAGTACTTTATATAACCAGTAGGGGGCAGAACTAGAAAGATGAAAGATTTGTTTCTCACATGTGACCTCTGCAGAAAAACAATGGTAATCCCATGGTACCTTTTTGATAGTGTAAAGATAGTAGAGATCTTTACAAAAGCAGAGATCTTTACAGAAACCTTGCTTATTAACATATCAATAATATACTTCACAGGTAGATCTGTTGTTTATGTCAGTCACATGTAGGCTTATAACTTAGGCAGTTCTTAGTAATGTTTTAATGACAGAATCTGTGTAATTTCAGCTTTATCTAATAATCAGAACTTGTGGAAACTACCATGCCTTTAGCACTTGGATTTCAGAGCACTTCCACAAGAATATCTTGACTGCTAGACACTGAAGTCAGTGAAGTCAGACTGTGCTGAATGAACAGATTTCACACTGGATGCAGGCGTAGAGTCAAACTCAAGCATGGTGCCATGGTGACAGACAGACCACAACAGCCGAATATCATGGGCAATTGGAAGTGGTGCTCAGAGAGGAGTCAAGCTTTCAAAAGTTGCCCCAAAGCCAGAGGGAATGTTTGGAATCTCCTGATCCATTCCACCCCCGCAAGTGTAAATCTCAGACTGACATGTTTGAGATGACAGTTACAGCTGTTCAGTGTTGTTTTTGGACTCTGGATCTATATATGCAAAATATGTCAAAGACACTCTCATGTCAAAGACATGTATACTCTAGGTCTGTCTAGATAGATAGATAGATAGATAGATAGATAGATAGTCTATGTAGGTCTATAGATAGATAGATAGATAGATAGATAGATAGATAGATAGATAGATAGATAGATAGATAGATAGATAGATAGATAGATAGATAGATAGATAGATAGATAGATAGATAGATAGATAGATAGATAGATAGATAGATAGATTTAATTAAGTAGATCTAACTTAAATAAATTAAGTGTAGTAGGACTAAAAAATAATAATAAATAGTTAGACTAACTTGACCAAATTGAACTCTTTTTTGGCAATTTAATAAATTGAGGTGGATAAAAATTAGTCAACATTGAGTTGAACCAACTTAATTAAATTAGCCAAAAATGAGTTGGTCCAACTCAATTAAATTGAGTTTTTTTATATATATAAATTGCCTAATATTTAGTTGGACCAACATAAATCAGTGGAGTTCAATTTATTTAAGTTGATCCAACTCAATGTTTGCCAATTTAATTAGGTTGGATCAACATATAATACAAATTTTAACTGAAATAAATTGAGCTGAACCAACATAAATTAATTGAGGGCCAATTTATTTAATTGAGTTATCCCAACTCAATTGGATTAAGTTGGTGCAACTAATTTTCTCCGAATTTAATTGAGTAGATTCAACTTAAATAAATTGAGCTGCGACAAAATTTTTAAAAAGTGTTACTTTAGCTCATTATAATTACTTAAACTCTTCTAAGAAGGCCTAGAGCTAAATCCCTCTAGACAAGATAAAAACAGTTTGCATAAATTGCTAATTGCATCTAAACATTGCTTGTACAATTTGGATTGTTTGGAAAATGCATTCATGATGTTCGTGCTCATTATATATTTTTTTTATACATTTTAACACAAAAAATGGACCACAGCTTTAACCCTGTTTAAATATTTTATGTTAGACTCATTAAATATAATTACGTTCACTAGTAAAAAAAAACGTTCTTAATACGCTAAAAACAAACTGTTTTAACATTCAGAAAATTCAGAAAAGTTTTTTTTTATTAATACATAAAAAATTAATTCAATAATGATTTCATAATTTGATAGGAATGTTAGTAAAACATTGTTTGGTGGGATGTTCGTCACCATATGTAAGATGACGTAAGTTCGGGGTGGGTGTGTTAAATGCATTAAATCTTTTTTTACAGTACATGCCTTAGGATCTGACTAATGAGAAGGCAGTTCACATTTCTCATTCCAACATGTTCCCAGGCTGGTCAGGATGTTCCAGTAACTCAGAACATGTTCAATACTCTCCTCCCCTCTGAGGTGGATGAACCTGAAAGCAGGGGTGAAGCTTTGTTCACTGAATGGAACAGCATTCCAGAGGTGATGTGAGCATACCACAACACACGATCATGTGAGCTACAGCTCACAGCTGCAGACCTTCATCTTCTCTGACCTTGGTTTGACTTCCATGACCAGAAAGAGTGTTAACTTCTAAATGCAAGGTCTTTTATCAATTACAACTGTGTTTAATTCTCAATTGGATTTATTCTTAATGTATTGCACTGATAAAGTTCATGGTTTTATTGATATGTGATGTATTTTTATTTTTATTTTTATTTTTTTTTGGGAGGGGGTGGATTTTTAGGGCTGGATTTTTAGGATTTCTGATAAAGTTCATCTGTGTCATTAGGCATTAACCTATCCTTTGTTGTAATTTGTTTAGAAAACACTAAATTATCAGAGGTGGACAGTAGTTATATTCTATTTTGTGGAAACTTTTTACTTTAACTTCACTACATTTGAAAGGCAAATATCATACTCCACTACAATTCTGTCAAGGTCTTTAAGTAGATCATAACTTCAGTCAAGGGACTATTTTGGTTGGAAATGAATGTCGGGTTGAGGTCAGAACCCGACTGATGTTGAACCCGACCCGGACAGTTCTAAAACATGGCAGATTATTTGATTATAATAAATGTACCCTGGTGTCACAGACAATGCATGGTCCCAGAATAAAATTCATGTTTGAGCTGTTGAGCCGGAAAGCAACCTGCACTGCACTGACATATCTATCTTGTCTCAAGACCACATCAGTAGCCTAATGTTTTGCATGAAATGCTGAATAGTCTGTATGTGTGTTCCTTTTGTTTCGTGTGAGTCCATGTGTAGTTTTGTGATGTGTAGCACCTGTGCAAAACTAATTTCCTAAGGGATAAATAAACTAAACTAAACTGATTATTAAAGCTACTAAAATGTCCTAATTGAACTAAGGCCATAATCCTGGCTTAATCTAAGCCCTGTCTGTGAAACCAGGTAATAGAGTGAAAAATAAAATTTAATTGGTCAATATGATTGTACCATATACATTTGCAGGTTTTCACAGCTTTTTGTGTTTTGGAAGAATCTTCAATAAGCATTTGTGTTTCTGTTTTACCATAGTGACATGCTACTTTGCAGCCACATACTCTGTTATGAGGTGTTGTGTACTTTGTCAGAAGTAGGTCAACTTGCCCATCTACCCAAACAATCAAATGATGCAGTTTCCTTGACAGTCAAGTATCATGGGGCTAGCTGGCCCAGACAAAAGACAGCACTGTGTTGCTTCAAAGGACTGGAGAATCAACACTAATTGAAACTGATGTTGCAGATTTATACATTTTAATGTAGCCTATACAGTGGGTCAAACACATGAACCCCTGCCTCCATCAGCACACACACACTGACACTGACTGATTGAGACCTCAGGATTTGCTGCTTATGCAATATCTGACTGTATCAGCCAATGGCGAGCAAGAGGGTTGGCAACTGTTGCCATGACAACAGGCATAAGCTTGACATATGGAGGGGGAGGGTGAAAACAGGCATCTAATAAAATGCCAATGAGTGGTTGATGGAGACATCTGCAACATATTGGCATATGGACTCAATTTACCATATATAGGGAACATTCACATAAACTAGTGGAATTATTAAACTAGATGAATATTAAAAGCTTTTTTGAGAATTACCAGAATTGTTTTTGTTGTTCAACTTTACTGACAAAAAAATAATCTGAAAACAAGGGAAACCACTACTGATGTTTAAACAACATCAAAAAACACTTGCATCCCTATACTTCCATATGTAAAACCTAGTTGTAAACCTGAATTCACTGCATTTATAAAACAGGATGCAAGGAAATAGGATGACCTAATACATCTGAAAATATTCTGAAGTATGCATCTAACATACACTTTACTATCCCATAAGGCCATGTGAGAGGATTGGCAGTGAAATGATGCAAATTAAAGCGTCACATTCATAATATGTAAAACATTGTTTTTACGAATCAATTACTTTTTCATTTGAGCTACCTTCTCAGAGCCCCTTTCAACATATTTGCAATCGTATTTTTTAACATAATTAGTCAATTTAATTGAAGCTTGTTTAGCCGTTTGTTGTAGTCCTTGAACGATTTTTTTAAAAGCAAATATTGCTTTGAACTTTGAGCGTTTTAACTTTGCAG